CCATACCCGCCGCTACAGCGATGTACCAAAACAAAATTCAAGAATTCTTTTTAAAATATTTTTTCTCAAACTATCGCTTACAATAAGCTAACCATGTCATGTATTGGAAGGTCTCCACTTACGTTTTTATTTTTTATGACACAACTAGAAATATCATTTTAAGATTTGTATTACATTTGATGTTGGTCTGAACCAATGGCTTGCGTGTAGAATTTCAGATCATTCGTTTGCTAACTTTACAAGAATAATCAATTTTATGATGCAAAATGTCGCAAAAATGAAAAGCGATTTCATGCTTTTAACTCAAATATGGTTAATTATTGAACAAAAAAGTTATTTCCAAATGAATTCTGAGTAAATTTTTTTTCTCATCTTTTTTAGTGCCCAATTTGACAAAAGTAAGATTTTTCAACATGTTTAACGGCATCTAGAACTCAGTGACGCCATTTTAAATGAGATAATAACTGCTTTGAATTACAGTAAACTTCATTGATAGCGAACACGGTTATAGCGCACTTCCGGTTATAAGGAACAATTTATTTTGGCCCGAATTTTGCCCTTCTTTATTTAAAATAAAAATATACGATTATAGCGAACACGGTTATTAGGAATTTTTGCTTGTAAGGAACTCAATTTTAAGTCCCAATTTAGTTAAAAGTACAGAAAATTACACTTTTATAACGAACTCCAAAATATCGGCTATCCGTAAAAAGATCCCGCATTTTCAACTTTCGTTTTCATTGGCACTTGTTCCAATGTACCGTTTATTGTTGTATGTACTTCAAGACATCTATTAAAATGAATTTGTATAGCAGTACGTTATAGTACAATCTATTGAAAACAACAAAGTACGCTTGATTTTAATAAAAAGCAATCTATATCTTTCACAAGTAAAAGTCATCCTTAAAATGTAATAGAAGATATTCAATATAAAAGGAAAGAAAATCATGGCTTTTCTTAATCATGGAAAGAAAACGATAAGTACTAAGTTTAGAAACAAGAAAGGGAGTTAAATTAAAAATGAAATAGCAAAGGATTTTCAAATTCCAAAAAGTACGCTCTCGGGTATTGTGTCTAAAATAGAAATAAACAACTAATTTTTCTTAATCAAATGCTGTTCAAAATGGCGGAGAAACAGTTCATAATATGTAAATCTGTTCGCTATAAAAACTCCTGATACAAGGAACTAATTCGCTATATGCTTACAAGGAACTCCAGATGCATGTATAAGGAACAGATTTGAATGTCCCAATGAGTTCGTTATAAGCGGAGTTTACTGTATTCTTATATGTCGTATATGTTACTTTAGTTCAACAAAGTATTTGTATTGTTCTATTCTTTAAAACGATATTCATTTGTGACCGGATCAAGGCACTTTCAGTTCAACAGAGCACAGTTCAGCCACCGCATCGTTCCTAGTCCAGCTGTCAAGTAGTTAACTAGTTCTAATGCCTGAACCGATATTACTTCTGTATATATGATCAGAGGTACATCTAGTGTTACTGTGAAACGTAGAAAGGATTTTATTATTAAACACAACGAAACTGACCTGAAGGAATCTAGGTTGCCTGATGCACAGCCCAACGCTCTACTAACCGATCGGTATGGGAAGTAGTAGTTTAGGCTTGATGGGGATCAATTCGCATAATTAAGTTGCAAAATGTAACTTTCGCCGTCAAATATGGACCACGGACAAGTTACCGGTCATTCCCTGGATGAGTTAATTTTTAAGCACAAAGTGAATAATTTACCGAGTAATTTTCGCACTGTTATTTTAGGGGTTGTATTACTAAACGTTTCAGAGCGGTCTCTAGGTTTTTGACCAGCAGATACATGCGCTGGAGAACACATGTATAACATAAAAGTGATACAATGTAATAACTGGCCCGGTCTCTGCCAGTCTATGACTTCTTAGCTGTTTTTTTTTTCCACTTTTTACGACAGAAGTGTGACAGAAAATTCGAGAGTTTCCATAAGTAAAATCTCGCAGATTGAAAAGTTGCCCGCGAAATTTCATAAACTGACGGTAAAATAACCCGCGGCTTTAAAATGGACGCTACAGGCCAACATTAAGGTATCAACATGAAACTTGGAATACTTCCTTATCATGACAAGATGCACTTGTAAGATATTGGACCCATTCTTGGCATATTTACCAATGGGGTCCAGGCCCTTCAGTGGGATACTTACGCCCTTTTTCACATGGAAATATTTTTAAAAAAATATGAATACCAATATCTTGAACATCCAAAATCATAAGTTATTCATGTTATTAAGTGGTGAATTGCATATTCTAACACGACCCGCATTTTCTTTTCCTTTTGAACATAGAAATATCGAAAGTGTGTGTTATTATGCAATAAAATCACTGCTGACTTTCTATATTAAGACATGTGACGTAAACATTATATACAGACAAATGCTAAACACTGCACAGATTGCTGTGCAATGAATAATTAAACAATATCATGACACTTAAGTCGTGTCAAAAAATACGTTACCTACATCATATGGAGATACAAATATGGGAAAGGTGCCATCAGTGCTTAATTAGTATGAAAATCAGTAGGTTAAGTTCAGAGATAAACGTTTTTGTTAATGTTTGTTGAGCTTATAAAACGCAAAAACGGTGGTTTGAATTTACAAAGGTAAAAGGTGAGGCAATCACAAGTCAACTAATGGCTGCTTACACGATGAAAAGTTAACAATTTGACACACGGTTACAATGTTTTATAAATGATGATTTCATTTAACACCTTTCGATGACTGCAAAAATCTAGTGATCACTTACATTTCCTCTGAATTACACTTGCGCAGACTTTGAGATAATATTTTACCATTCGGAACTGCCTCGGCTATTATCTATAATTACGGATTGAAAGTAGTTCTAGCACGTCGTTCAGATGTAACCAGAAACAGAGATAATGTAAAACGAATGTATATATTTGACATCTAATGTCTGTTCCGGTACTCTTATGCTTGAAAATATGTCTGACAACAATTTGTAATTTAAACATGCCCAATGATGTTCAATTTTAAACAAATCCGATTAAATGTCAATAGGTTGGTTTTTTGTACTCACGGTTTCTACAACCATTATAATAAATATATGAATAATGTATTGTTTGCTTTTGTACCTATGAATTCACTTATTATTGGTGGACTTTTATAAACTTGTCAACAACTCTCAGCATTTAATTACTGTTTGTTTACATGTTTAGTTTCTTAGCGTAGGTTAGACCGAAATACCGCATCCGTTCTGTATATTCATACTATTGTGTTCGAGGTCCTTATCTGAAGACTGACGGAAAAGGCCGAGTAGTTGCTATTGATATTCTACATCTTTTCCATTAATTTTTAATTGAAATGACATCTCTATTTCCTTTTAGACTATTCGTTTCCTGAACATTTTGTACATTTTGAGTTTTGTTGAATGAAAGTTGTCGCAGCCTTTTAGAGTTTTAGAAATAAAGGATTTTGTATGACAATCAATCATATATCAGATATCTTAATCATTCTTTCATACATTACTACAGTTTCTCTTAGACACTTCATTTATTAGCTCTCCATGAACAGACTCAACAAAGCGGAGACTGCTATTTTTTTTCGCTTTTGTTTTAAGTACTTTCGAACATCTTCCCTTTGTATAATTCTTGTTCACATCATCTCTTGGTTTTATTGGTGTTTTCTTCTTTTAAAATTATGGTTAAGTATATCCGTCGAATTTTGAAAGATCTTCCTAATTATCAAATATGCAATTATTATATAAATGTTTTGTATGTATCTATTTTGTCAAAGAAAATATCTTTGCATCACAGACTACGTTCTGTTGTTGTATACACATGCTTAAGCGTCGTCATTCCCTTAAAATAGTTAGTTTTTGGAACATAGGAACATATTTCTGACTGAGGTACTTTTTTATGTAGATAATATCCATTTAATCAATTCATTCAATTTATTCATCGTTCATTGATTTTTACTGGCATGCTAATTGTTTTTGTTTTTTTATTTTGTTGTTGTTGCTGCTGATGCTGCTTTCTTAATAGAGGGTTTTCATCAGCTCCATACCGTCACTATTTTTTTAACTCGTTTTATATTTTATACAAATTGAAATTTTTAGAATATTCATATCGATATGAATTACATTTAGTGTGTTCTCAGCCATACTGTGATACCGTAAGGTATAGACATGTCAAATAACTGATATTTTGCTGGAGGTGTAAATTTCATTCACATTGAATTAAAATTCTAATTAAGATATAAATACTTAAACCCAGGACGGAAAGTTAAATCAGTTTTAATTTTTGATATATGCTGCCTCGCACTACAGAGAGTAATTTAACAAATAAACATTCATGCAAAAAAAATGATAAGAATCAAATTGTTAATGTTATGCATTGTTAATTCATTGAACTAATATGCTTTTTTCAACTTTAAATCAACAACACTCGAATTTGTAAATTTTGTCAATTATGTAGAACTACATGAATAGTCAAATGCTAACAATTGTTGATAAGACAGTACAAAACTCCGAATATCGGATAAGATTCTATCAGAGAATGATTTAGTCTAGCCATAATGGCACATCTTCATGGTGTAATATACGACAGCGTAGCTCTTACACTTTTGACAGTGTCGGATACAGATGCCAAGAAACCTTTTGCAGCAATATGACTCGTAACGCACGCATTTCACAGTTTTACCTTTTTTGTAATGACAACAAAAATTTCCAACTGGCCATGACCTTTTCTTGCGATCTCCACTTGCTACAAAAAATGAGTTCAAACTTTATTAGAGTTCAAATATGAAAATATGTACGATTTAGAGTTTCTCAACAAGTTCATATTCTGTACATTTCATAATATTTTATTATAAATTAAATATTCTGAATATCTTTGGTTAGATTGCCAATGTTACATGTATTAGAATGATGTGTTTAAATCATTTTTAATGACCCGTTTTTCATGTATTATTTATTTTAAATTTATAAATTCATATACCTGTAGCTTTACTATCAATTACGTCACAGCTTTGTTGTTCCAGCATATAGAGTGACTGGCATTGATCGAAAACATGTGTAGCATTAAGACCCATCCCCATTGCGTCCTCGTAGGATACTGCGTTACGTACATAGCAAATATCTTTATCATCGGGGGTGGTCTGAAAGCAATGTAGGTTTGCAGTTTTAATTTTTATTACCCGAACATCTGAACAAAAGTGTTCTTAATATTAGGGTCTAAAATCTGAAAACATCCAAGTCTTTTATCATAAGCAGACGATTTTCAGCATCAAAACCAAGCATTGAACACTATTTAGATATACGATATACAAATATGATTTTCTGAATTGCTCATGTAAATAAATTTTATTTTTTATTTTTTAATAAACATATATAAATTACTGTTAAGTTGATTTGTCATTACAAAACAACAAGAATGAAGGCCTTCCACCGATATCATAAAGTTATTGTACTAATTAAGCGTTCCGTCGAGGCTATTTATCAATCGCAAAAACAATATACAATTTCGCTCTTTTTCCAATAAATAACTTTGAAATCCTTTCTGTTAAAACCCTACAAATCTAAATCTTAAACGTGATTGTTTAACAACAAACCGCTTGAAGATCCTGTTATTTTATTTTTTCAACATTTAATGTTAATTGATTATTTTAGGGCTATCTTGAAATAAAAAATCTGTTATGCTACATTTTTCTGAAAAGGCAAATAATATTTGTACCAATACCTCTTCAGATTCTGTTTCAATACTTCTCAGAAAACAAGGGTGTTCATCAGCCTCAACTGGTTTGTCAATTTGGAGTCCCTGTGAATTATTTTATTAGATGCATATTCTATAATGATTTTATAAATTTTACAATACAATACCGAGCTTGTTAAAAAGAGAGTTTATTATATTTTTAATTCATGTTCAACATGGATGGTGTGATCAAGGGACGTTGATAATGAGATTTCAATATTTGATTTATTTTCGATAGAAAATATTTGTTTATGCACATTACATCACAGTTTTGTTTGTCTGTAAATAAACTTGTAATGTTGGCTCCAACGGGTTGAGAGACTAAATAAAATCATGTAAATGTTTTTGAATTCATTTTTGTGAATGCAGTTAGCGGGATCCGACCATAAAAAGGTTAGATGAGTAATTGAAATTAGGGAACTTGAATAAAGTATCTTTAACTGTTCGAAAAGTAAAATCAATAAAGAAAAACCTCCTCTTCAAGTATTTCAACGGTGGCTACAACTTTATTGTTTTTGTCTAATATTGTTACTTCTTCCTCATTTCCATGTTGAAAAGTCTCTATATGGAGATCGCCATCCTAAAATAAAAACATGTTTGTAAAAGTAAAAACACTCAATACCATTCAAAAGAGATGAATGACTGAAATGATAAATCAAATTTAAAAGATACATAAGGAACACGAGTCAACGCGTATAAAAACTGTACACAAATTGCAAACACCCAATAGACGTTTTAATCAACCAGAATAAGTTCGCACTGCATAACGAAGTTTTAGTTCTAGTGGTAAAGAATAGAAAAAAGATCGTATGAAATGTGTGTGGTCATTTAAAAAGTTGCTGAGATTAATGGCCCATTTATAAGAATATATTCACTGAGATTTCATCTGATATGTCATCCGCAAAAGTAAATAAATTTTGTATACCCTTGTTTTCAAGCAATGCCGGTTAACCCAATCATTGCATTGAAGGTTTATTTTCGAGTTTGACTTGCGTTACCGATCATGTCTTGTCGCAACGATTTTTATTTGGAGAACTCTTAAGTCGACGCAGCACTGTTTGCGTTGACACACGTCGATGTGTTTCTGTCGAGCGTACATGCAGGTTTTACAACGACACACGTACGTTGTACTATGTAAAAGACGTGTGCGATTTTATAAGGTACACGATGAAAAGATTGGCTCTTTAGTTTTCCATTGAACTTGAAGAAAGTCACGAAAGTCCTGATGACCTTTCTCTAACAATAAAAGATGTTGTCCATCTGCACCATTCTGCTTACTCTGTTTAATCGCATTCCTGGCCTTTTATATTGTCTTAACATTAAATTTACTTTACCACACTGTCAATAAGCATCCTCGACTCCTTTTAAGATACAATGATTTTGCGGGTTTTTTTTCGAGTAAATATACGAGAACATTCATCAAACCAAAAGGTCAATTATGGTGCATGGCAGTCCAAGATTATGCGTGACTTTTGTCTAGTACTAGTTAAACATAGAAACGTAAACGCAGTAAAGACAATAAATTGTCTCTAAGGAGAAAATTTGTCAATGCAGGATAATAGATCAAATAAAAATGACAAAGTCGGTATAGTAAAATGCGACGGTAAAATTTGTCAGCTCAGTCTTTATGTTAATTAGATATTTTAATCACAGAAATGTATTGAAATCTATGAAATAGTTATTATTTAATGACACTATATTTTCATATATATTCATATTGTGACAAAATATAGTATGTACAATTTTAAAAATAACATATTAACTTTGTGATATGTCAAAACATGTTTATTTTATATTTACAAAAAGACTGTTTAGCAATTATCAATGTTTTCTAATATTGAATTTGAGCAAAAACATGAACTAACCTGCACTTCATCAGATTCAGCCCAAACCGATCCTAACACCAAAACAATTAACAATACAGCATTCTTTGTCTCCATTTTAGCAGAATCGGGACTGAAATTGTTAAAAAGTAATATTGCCATAAATCCAAAAAAATCGCAATTCAAACAATATAAACTGCAATTTTCCTTAATTGATATATGCATGCATATAAACAAACAACTTGTAACTTCTTTTCTGTCATACTTAAACGATGTGACAGTACCTATGTTTACTTTTGTAAGAACCTCAGAAATTTAAAAAGTTGTATCGAAAGAGTATTAATCACATGTTGCAATAAAAATTATATCTCAATAATCGTAAGTGTAAAGCGAAATAGAAAACTATAATAACACCGGAAATGATGAATTCTAAATGCTAACTTATAGTATGGTTTTGGGTAAATGATATTGAATTTATACTATACCTGTTCTGAATAAACCAATCATCGAACTTTCTATACCATAAATCATAATGAACACCGTGCAGGATGAATCCTTACTCTCTGGGGTGTATGTTTAATAGCTCTCCACGTACTATTTAGAGGTTGTGAATATATTTTTATTGTTTTGCTTGTACTTGAGAACTCTAGACCAGGCAACTTTTGCAATTCATCCAAACACTTTAGTAAAAAAAAAACTATTATGTAGACCTACTAGAGAGTATTTGTGTTTACGTACATCACATGTGGTTGGCAACTTTATTGTTTTAAAACATTTTATTATCATTATTTATTACATGTATAAAAAATAGCCGTGTAATTCACACAAAAATCTTTTTCCTAGAGAGATTTTATGATTAAACTTTATCACTAAAATCGTAAAAGGAAATCACAAGTCATATGTCAGGAAGAATTATGACTAGTTGATTTATCACTATATACTACATAAGTGTCGTATTAATATTATTTTTATCTGAAGAAAACAAATAATTACAGTCTACAGGAGATAAAAGTATAAACTCTTAAATGTTGGCATTTTTATTTTAGTGTATTTGTAATTTTAACATTACAAATAAAAACACAATAGTATAGCATATGCATCTAAATCATTGAAAGGAAAAGAAAAAAAGTAAAATAAAACTCAGTCTAGAATGTTCTCAATGTCGTGAATATTAAACATAGAAAACATATACAGATTCCTTTTTTGCAAAATCATAATACTAAAATTGTTTATTATTATTTTTTTATTATTATTATTATTATTATTATTATTATTATTATTATTATTATTATTATTATTATTATTATTATTATTATTATTATTATTATTATTATCATTATTATTATTATATCTAAGGCAGGAGGGTAGGTAAAAATGAATATCACAATGAAGTAAACAAGAACTGCAAGTAGGAGATTGCGCTCAACTATTCTCTTCTCGGTGATGGTTAAACAAAAGCCTTGATATTGTAGGAATCATGATATATATTGCACAGTTACGATGATGATTGCTTAAGGTATTACCACCTAATGAAACTATAACAAACTGAAAATTTGTAAAATACAAAATAATATTACGTTTAGTTATAATTTTATTAGACTTTAAAAATATCAGGTAACATATTTGTTTTAAGATGTAGCAATTATTTCGCCAATAAATACCTATATAAATTAAAATAATTAAGTTAAATATGATTTTATTTCCAAAATGGATATGACAGATACATTGATAATGTTTAAAGAAAAAAAGTTGACCTTTCTGGGGTTTGAACTTACGGTCCTAAGTTTCGTTAACAGTAATTCTAGCATATATTAAATACTCCTCAAAATACATTAGGATGGTCATTTCATAAGATGACACGTAAAATTTACAAAATGACATAATCTTGAATGTGATTTAATTTATTTTATGAAACGCTCTTTCTTTTGTAAGAATATTTAAGCATATCAAAATAATATGCGTCTTCATTCCTTATAATGATAAGTATTAAAACTGGCCTTAACAACATATAATACCGTCAAAGTGTACGTTTCTAAGAGGAATGCTAGTTAAAGACAAGAGTAGCGACATTTCATTAAAACCAGTTATATGTTCATTGATTTGTCAGATCAACCTTACAGGGCAAATATGTTCCAGAAAATGAATGCAATTCAAATGCAGAGAGCCGGCTGTAAGAGATCCGTGAGTTCATTGTTATGTATCTTTATCATATTTTATTTGAAAATGGAATTCAATTGCGCTATACTAATCTCATGTTATTCAATTGTGTATTACTACTGTCTGCATATCTATCATTACAGTTGTTCAGTGATTTCTACCACATCGGAATATCAATTGCTGAAAAACTGCTGCTGTCAATATTAGATAAGTTAGCAGATATAAACAACTGACACAGTGGAAGATTAAATTACACGTAAACGCAATGATCGAAATAGTTATAAACCTTTATTATCATGTTTTGTTATTCTTTGCATTTTAACAATAAATATTTAATAACGGAGATAAATTATTGGAGAAATGAATAGAAAAAAAAATAAATTAAATTCTCATCTAATATCAGTCTGTGACACATTTTTTATGCAATTTTCTATGTACAGGAACACATTTTCTCATGTAAGTTTGCAATGGAAACAGAAGATGCTTCCATTGTAAGTGACGACGATACGGACATCTCTCAGCTATCATCAATAGTTTCTTCCGAGAGTTCTGAATCAATGGATGAATGGGAAGATTTTGCTATAGAAAATGTTTAAGAAGAAACAACACTTCCATTTGTGAATTGTAAACCGTTCTGCAAATAAAATTCTTTAAGTTTGATATCAGCTTTAAACTGAAAATTTGACATTTTATGTGGGTATTAAATTCAGTATAAGTACCAGCACATACAATGCAGTACGTACGTACGAACGTATCCTGTACCAGTATCAATTTAATTGCATTTTATATATTATGTATTATGAAAAACATTCAAAGCAGTTACAATAATATTTTGTTTTTCAAGGTTATACAATTTGTTGGGACGATGTTGGGACGCAAGTAAATGTCTGTCATCAGACTCGCAACCATGAAAAGCAGTATTTCACTTGAGCACAAATGTAGCCAACAACCGGGTACAAGCAGTCACCCTAGTGTTATTTAACTGTTATACCGGCATATACATGTATGTATATGTATATGATCAAAATATACGCCTTTTGTGTGTCGACTACAGTAGCCGTAATTCTAATTTAATGTGACTTTACGTCTCTTGTCTAGACGTTTATGATGTTGTATTTTATATTATCTTTAAACTTTTCAACATCTTTGCATGACTGATCTGATGCAATTGTTGGGAAAGCTTTATGACTCCGACAAAGACATTTTACAATCAGTTTTTCTGGCCTGATTTTCTGGCAAAATGAATAAAAAGACGGAAATACAAAGTATAAGATATAAACGTATATCTCTCGACTTTTATTAGTATCCACTTTTAATGAAAAGGGTCGAATATTCCGGTACAAAGATTTCGTTATGGACATTTGAATTTTTCACAATGCCATTGTATATGCGTACATGGAAAATAAAATCCCGAGCGTTATTTTGTTGGATTTGATTTTTAAATGTTATATCTATAATCAGTTAAAAAAAATAATTTCGGTTTATGATTGTAATATTTCTAACCCTCGCACATCGATATCCTGTAATTATGATTACATGCTGCATTATGAAATGTATAAATAATATTTCTGAAACATGACTTATTATATATTATCTTTGTATATTACATAAAAGCAGAATTTAGAAATAATGTTTGAAAAACTTAGGTCTATCAAATAGACGCGAACTCCTGCATTACCGGTTTAACACCCTGAATTATACAACAAATTTTCACAATTTCAAATCTTTTCGAGTGACGTCATCCGCCATTTGCAGGTAATAATTGAGAAATAAATTGCTATATATTTGATAGGTATTTTACAGTTGATTTCAAATTGACAATTGTGTGAAAGTTGTTTACTACGTATATGTAGTAACAATTATAATGTTTGCCATTTTATAGAGAAAATTCCTATAAAGCTGGTGTTGCCTGCGTAAGAATTAGGCGTAACGGATGGACAGTATACAAAACTTACTTACCGGCTCTTTTGTTAAAAACAGTCTAGTAAATCACTTACCGACCGCTTAACAGGTCTGCAAATATATTCCGACCTGTTTTTGTTCTATTGTTCTCTATACAATAGAAAATATGTGATGTCGAGAAACTCGTGCATTTGCATTACACAATATTCACCGTAAACGCAGAAATTTTGAAAAATAACGCTGAATTGTGCAAATTTATATGGCGGTGGGGGGGGGGGGGTAATGACCACTTTAAATAGGAAAAAGGGTGGATATATATTTTAAAGTACATTTCATCAAATTGATAGAATTATATTAGCGCATACGGCTGTTAGGACCCTCATAACATATATTCCAGATTATTTGTGAGAAAAACGAACTGGCTACTGTTCTGGCGTTGAAGTTTGTGTTTCGCCGAGTACAATAACGCACATTTAGCTTTTCATTATAGTTTGCTTTTCAGTATACCTAACACATTTGCCGAACTATATAGCTTCATAAGATACTAGTTTTCGGCATCTATTTCCACAACTATGTCTGATTTTGTACAATCCTGCATTATTTTAACAATTCTGCATTATGGGATATATAGTTTAAGTGTTTAAGTTTAAGTTACACATTTTGTAATTTTGTTTATATATTATTGTACACCTCTTATCATATGTAAATATGCTGAGTGTATCAATAAAACTTAAACTTAAACCCAACACGGTCGATCATTTCCTGGCTTTTGACAACAGTAGGGCGAGTTAGTCTTCGGTCATCTTCTAACGTCTCACCAACGTTTAAATTCTGGCAACAACTTTGCCACTGTGAAATACTTTGGGCTAATATCGCTATACACATCAGCCATGATTGGCTATTGATTTCTTTGGCATTTGTCCCCTCCTTAATGAGGAACTTTATGACTGTCCTGATTTCAACATTCCGATTTTCCAAGTTTGACTATGTGTATAGGTTTTCAAACAAAAAGTAAGAGCAATAATGTACGATATGTCTGAACGGCTGATTCAACTGAAAAGGTGGACTCTGCACAAAAATGAAAATAAACCAACAAAAACTATAATTGTATAGAAAAATAGAGTTGTACGAACTTATCGAATTCCCATAGTTATAAGACATTGTGTAAGTTTCAGAAAGACTATACATGTAGTTACTTTCGAAATCCATGCTAGAGTTAAAGTCTTATATGTGACCTTTAGATATAATTCAGAAATGATACATTAAGTTTCAAGCAAAAACCAACAATAGTTTTGATGTTGCATGTACTTTAAGTTTTGGACCGGTCACGAAGTGTCACGGATAATCAGACAAACAGAAAGACAGACGGACGGACAAACGGACGAGTACATTTATGTCTCCCTTTTTTCAATAATATATTCAAAGTTTTATGTTTGCACTAGTATCTGCATTAACAAATCTTTCCAGAGTTCATTTGTGCCAACTCTAACATTGCTATTCTTTTTTTTTTAAGAAAATACAATGGTAATGATGATATTATTTTATATTTATAGTACGTTTTCCCTGTAAATTCTTTACATTTTCAATTTAAATCATAATTTTAAAAATCAAGATGAGAAACAATTTTTTCTTATTACATGTTTGCATATAAACTTGATTTTGGCTACAAATATGCAATATGCTATTTTTAAAAGGTTAAGACTGAATAATTTCAGTGCCTTGAACATTGTATGAAAATGGTTTGTGTTATCATTGAAAAGTTTTTAGGGCTTTGAACTTAAAATGAAAAAAATAATTAATGCACCATCTGAAATTTTGGCTGCATGCGGGGGAATCCGTGGCATGATGACACATTTCTAGTTTTTTTCTTCTATGTTCAAAATTCTGGTTGCTATGCCAACAAATAGTCTGAAAATATGGCAAATTTAACACATAAACTGGATCCAGGGATAACTCAAAAAAGTACTGAAAATATTTACATGAAACTTGAAATATGGGTAGATGGCAGTCTGGAGATTATGCACATCTTTTTCTTTTCTTCCTATGTTGAAAATTCTGGTTGCTATGGCAACAAATAGCCTGAATTTCAAGATTTCTGATTTAAATTTTCAGCTTTTTCACTATAAGTTCTTTAATTCTTAAGGTGTTTACTTCGAACTTTAAATATAAGTTTCTAGTCATCAACCACATTATATGTGACAAGGTTTACAACTCTAGCACAAAAATTATCAGTATTACCTCCCTTGAACTTAGAATTTTTATGAAAAAAAAAATGTCTTTTTATGTATGAATCTTCATATTTACAGGAAACTAAGAAAGGCTGTGAATGAAAACCAGAACAACTGGGATAAGTTCCTTGATGGAGCTTTATTTTCAATGAGAATGGCACCACAGGCTTCAACAAAATACTCACCTTTTCGCCTTTTATATGGTAGAGAGCCATGTGTACCTTCGGAGCTACCAGAAATGCCTCTAAATTTGGTAATTACATTTTCCTTTAGAATGGGGTATGCTACATCTTAACATATAGGATGAAAACTAAATTAAAGAATTTTTTTAATCTCATCATGATCTTAGAATATGATTATAAAATTATTTTACTGTTATTAACAAGCCTGTTACGATTCTACGCCATTTTGTCATCTTTTTAAGAACAAAATGAAAAATATAAACATTTTTTAAATAATTGTCAAATATATGTACAAGTCATAAGCCCTTGACATGACCAAAAAAGCAACTTGCATTTCAAATGCAAACTTCACAACCCATATTTTTTGCTTGAAATATTTAAAACTTGTTTATTCTAAGATCATGCAACATTTTAATAAATTATATTATATAGTTTCAGTTTGTCAAATATTATAGTTATGTTGCTTAAAAAAACTAACATACACTAAAAATATGTTTTGTCATCGGTAAGCCTGAGAATCGATATTTGTATTCATTGTTTCCATAAATCTTTTTAAAGAGCAATATTAATAAATATGCAGTGAAAAAGGAAAACAATCATGAATACCTTACATATAAACATTGATTTTAACCAGATCAGAGTCAGATTTTTATGATTAACAATTATTTTTGATATTGCATTTACCGAATGGAAAACATGAACTGACGACTTGGCAAACATACATGTTTGTTATCATGTGTGAAAACCTGGAAAAATATTTTGTTAATTGTTATTGGATAATTTTGATTAAAAGAAATTTCCTTGCATGACAATAAGACTCTTCCCTATATTGAAGAGCTGTTTAGGTTTTTGATAAACAGTAATGACCTTTCTTAAATAAAAACAATAAAATTGACAATAAAATTTCCATTGTGTTTTTTTTTTTAGACTGCCGTCCCACCACTACATTCAGAAACGCTTTTGAATGAGTTTGTTGAAGTAACAGAAATGAAGAGGACAGATGTTGAAGAAAAGGTAAACCGTTTATGTTTTAGCAGACAATTACTCTGGTCATTTTACAAATAAGTGTATATGACAGCTGTTATTGGAAGAGAAGAATTACAAATAATGAAAGCAATATAAAATTGAATTAAGATATATGAATAAAAATAAAGTGTCATAATCAATAAGATTGAAAATATTGATAAAAGATGACTGTTTGGATGGTGTATGAAAAAGATTTTAAGAAATATTGTTATTTAGTCTCTTGGTTAATGTTTATATGTAAGTTTTACATATCTCAATAACTATCAGAGATTTGAAACTTCACATAATTATGCATGAAGGGTCATAATTGTATGTCACTCACTAAGTTGCATAACTCTATCTTGCATTTAGAATGATTTATCTCCCCTTTTCTACTTAGTCTCTTTGTTAATGTTTACGTGCAAGTTTTACATATCCCAATAACTATCAAAGATATTTATTTAAAACTTCACATATGCATCTAGGGTCATAATTGTATGTGACTGACCAAGATCCGTAATTCTAACTTGCATTTAGGCTGATTTTTCTCCCCTTATAGACTTGATATTTTTATTTTTTTTCATTTATTTAATTACATAACCTTTTGAGATATAGCCATGATACTTACATTACTTGTTAACAACAGTGATCTGAGTCTGTAATCCGGAGGCGGAAACGGTGTCAAAAATATTATTTTCATTTTTAGTAAAGGTATCAAGTTGATTTTTAACATGATTGGCACAGGTCCCATAACTCTGATTTACTTATTTACATATTAATGCCCCATTTTATACTCGATGAAACATCCTTGTGACAACTATCGAATAGTTGAGCATTGCTGTCCTCCGACAGCTCTTGTTTTTACTCATATTGTGTTTGTATACTGCATAAGTTTAATTTTGGCTACATTGGCAGTAAGGTTTTATTGCACCAATTCAAAATACTGCTAATTTTCTACCATTATTAACCACAGCTATTTTGCTCCAAAAGTCAGATTACTTGACGATGCTTTACAATTTATTTCCTTAATTTTTTATGGAAGAACATTAAACACATAACATGTTTATTATCGTTTGAACAAAAACAAATTAAAAATGCATGTTAAATGAACAGGAAATGTTAACACTTTTTCACATTATAGTCATAGTTTTATTCATAATGTTAACTATGGCTGTCAATTGAATATTGTGATATTGATTTTGAATATTGCGATATTGATATATCGTCGATATTCACCATACGATACAATATCGATACACAATTTTGAATATCGAATTACTCTAAAATCTATTTTATCTTGACTTGTGAAAATATCTCTCCATTTTGTCTAAATAAATAAGTTACTCCTTTTCATATTTCATGGCTGGCTTAACTCAATTTTCATATGCCAGAGAGAAAAAATAACAGAAAGACTTCATTTTGTTTATTTTATATATGATGTCTAAAACAAGCCTATATTACACCATGATCATAGTCTATAATGCATATTAAAATGTATTTTTACTGTACTTACTATTTAATTCGATATATATCGATGTATCGTCAATATTTGTCTTTCGATATATCGATACAAAAATTTCCATCAGTTAACCTAGAAATTGTACTATATGCAATTATATTTAAAAAAATAAAAAAAATTTCAACTGGCAAAGATTGCAACAGATAATTAACAATCATAATAAAAAAATAATATTTGTTTATAGATAAAGTAATGTTTTTTTTTATTCAGCATTTTGTTGTATGTTTTAGGTAAAGCAGAACATAAAGACAGCACAAGAAAAACAAAAGAAAGATTATAAAAAGAGGAAAAGTGTTGGATACCATGAGTTTGGTGTTGGTGACACGGTCAAATTGTTTAACTCAAAGAAGAAAGCAAAGAAGGGAATTGTGTTAGAAGAAAATTATCTAGGACCTTATGAAATTATTAACATTACTGGGAAAAAGTGTTCATTGAAGTGCAAGAAGTCTGGAAAAGTTCTAAAGTCCAATCAGAATATTGACAATATAAAACATTTTAAGAAAGAAAGTGGAAATAAGTCCATGAATGAATTTTTAGAATCCTTATCGAAAATGGGTATTTTACAAGATATTTTAGATGGTTGCCAGCAATTCAATCTTCCAAAAGTGAAATCCATAGCAGACATTGAGACAGCCATGAATGATCCTGTTTACAGCTTTGTTAGTGAGGTAAGATAATAACTATTTTTCAAATACAGAACACTTTCTTGCCTCAGCATGCATTCAAATTTCTAACAAACTAGAAATGTGTCCATAGGACACGGATGCCCCCACACGCCACTGTTCTGTCAATCTTATGACTCTAGGTCAAATATTTTTTGGACTACATGTGCCACAAGTTGAAAACTAAAAATCAACAAAGGGCCATAATTCTGTTAAATTTGGTCGCAGCAAAAATTCCTACCTTTACTACCATCTACACATTAAGGTTGTTAATCCCTGGAAGTTTAAGCAAAATCTGCCATCCGGTTTAAGAGGAGTTGCGTTCAAAAAATTTCTACATAGTATATAATGAAAAAAACAACAAAGGGCCATAATTCTGTTAAATTTGGTTGCAGCAAAAATTCCTTCCTTTACTGCCATCTACACATAAAGGTTGTTCATCCTTGGAACTTTAAGCAAAATCTGCCATCTGGTTTAAGAGGAGTTGCATTCACAAAATTTCTACATAGTATATAGTGAAAAAATCAACAAAGGGCCATAATTCTGTAAAATTTGGTCGCAGCAAAAATTCCTTCCTTTACTACCATTTTTACCTTAAGGTTGTTCATCCCTGTAAGTTTAAGCAAAATCTGTTATGTGGTTTAAGAGGAGTTGCGTTCACAAAATTTCTACATAGTATATAGTGAAAAAATCAACAAAGGGCCATAATTCTGTTAAATTTGGTCGCAGCAAAATTTCCTTCCTTTACAACCATCTACACATTAAGGTTGTTCATCCCTGTAAGTTTAAGCAAAATCTGCCATGCGGTTTAAGAGGAGTTGCGTTCACAAAATTTCTACATAGTATCTAGTGAAATCTTATGACTCTAGGTCAAATATTTTTTGGACTACATGTGCCACAAGTTGAAACTAAAAATCAACAAAGGGCCATAATTCTGTTAAATTTGGTCGCAGCGAAAATTCCTTCCTTTACTACCATCTACACATTAAGGTTGTTCATCCCTGTAAGTTTAAGCGAAATCTGCCATCCGGTTTAAGAGGAGTTGCGTTCACAAGATTTCGGGACGTACGGACGGACTGTCGGACAAACTGACGGACAGACAGACAAGTGCAACGCTATATGCTCCCACATTGTGGGGGCATAAAAATGAAATTATATTTACATCTTCATCAGTAAAATGACTTTAAATGACATATTTAAAGTGCACATTATTATGAAAGTCAATTTGGCAAAATAATGCCCTGTGTATCCTCCTGAAAAGACAAGGAATTATAGTAGAATTCCTAGTTAAGTCTTTAGAAGTGAACATTTTGTTGGTTTTATAACAAGAAATATATATTTAGGCCATTTAAATGATAAAAAATAACAAAAAAAATCTTGGAAACTATTGTTCATTGTCATTTAGGTTTATCTATTAATGGTCACCTTTCTTTGTAATAGGTCTCAAAGAGCAATGAAGGTGTAATGGATGTGGCAGCAGCAATTATTACTCCATTTGTGACATCAACATCACTGACGCAGAAAACAGACATCGTCACCATTGCATCATCTGTTTTTACCAAGGCTTATGTCAGTGACTTAAGTCCTAAAGATGAAATGCATTCCTTGGAAGTATTACCCCCTTTCTTCAAGAAAACACCGCCAATGGAAGATTTAGAGAAGTCAGAAAGAATTATTGTTAATGGGGAATCAGTTGCAGTTGAAGATATTCAGACCCTGAAAGGAAAGGCATGGCTGAATGACAGGGTTAGTTTCTCTGTCAGAATAAAATTGTCCATGTAATTTCAATAAATTTCATTTTAAATCTTTAATATACAGCATTCAGCTTTATCTCCTATTTATTGTTATTGTGTTGCCTTTAAGGCGACATATAGGGGTTAGTTTTGTGGGCAGCATTGTCCCCTTAGGCTTGTCCGGAGCATAAGTCAGTCACTATAAATCAGATGGACTCCAAAACTTGGTATGCATGCTTGTTTCAATGACCCGAAGTGCAGTGCACAAGAATTGTTACTCTGCACGTCTAAAATTTGAGTTATTGCCCTTTGTTAATTTCCATACAAGGAGACACATCCCAATCACGGAGTTCTAGTGTTCTAAATAACCTTTATTGTAATAATAAGACCATGAGCACAAATTTTGAAACGCTTTCAATGTAAAATTTTGCTTCAGAAACTTATTTTAATATAAGGGCTTTATACCAGTAATAAAGTTGATACATCGCGTGTATATACTTGATAAAATTTCAACAACAAAAAGTACATATAATATTAGATGCCATTTTGAGTAAATGGCTTGTTATTTTTGCCTTGTGACATTTACTGAATTTACGTATCCATAATACTAATACATAGAGACTGAAATCCATGCAAATTATACAGATATACAGCCCATCTTACTAATGTTCAGTTCTGCTAATGTTTTTCGCACATCTAAATTATAGCAGTATATAGCTAATTATAATCAGTTTGATCCATAATTATACAAGTTGTGAAATGATAAAAATATTTAAGAAAATTCTTTTTCTACTTTGTAATAAAGTTTTGCATAGATGTCTGATGTCACTTGTTTTTAAAATAACAAATATCAAAAGATATTATATATCATATTACATTAATTCTGTATTTAAACAAATACGGTATTGATCATTCTGACTGATTTTCAACCTTGGTAAATGCATGTATTTGGAAACAAAGACAGGGCACTTTTCTTTAGATGTCCAATAATTTTCTGTGTTACTGGAATTGAAGAAGATTTACAAATTTGTTTACATAAAAGTGACAAACTTAAGAACATTTTATTACAACATTTCCATTTTGAATAATAATTTAAATAGTGAAGATTATCACAATGTCAAATAGCTGCAGTCAACATTACTGCCAGTTCTTAAGATTTAATTTCTACCAAATGTAAATTCTACTATTATTGATTTTATGTAATTTTTAAAAATTTGATCAATTTAAATTTTTTAAAATAATTTGCATTTTTTCTTTTCATACATATGACATTACATTTCAGGTAGTGAATGCATACCTAAAAAACCTGGCTAGATCCATGAATGATACAGACAGACCAAAAGCATTTGTAATACCTTCATACACGGGCACTTTATGGAGCCATGATGTGTATGATTCCCATATGTTTAGAAAGGTTAGATCTCTTCTTTAACATAATGTTCATTGTTTATATATTTCTACACTATCTGACAGTGTACATTAAATAGTCAACAAACAAAAATCATTTATGTCAGGTATTTAAAGTTGTATTGTCAAGAACTTAATTATACTTTACTATATTCTCAATTGAAATTATTTTTCTTCTAATTATTGAGCTAAATTGAATTTTAAACTTTAGTTTATCATTTGATTATTGTTGCTGATCCAATTTCCTTAAATTCATGCTCTTAACTGGGATTTGTACATGTTCCCTCAACAAAAATAATATCCTGGTGATTTCCAACCATAAAGTTGCCACTTTATTACATATTATTTCATTTAGGGGTGTCCTTGATCTAGTGGTTAAGGTCATTAACTTCAAACCACTTGTCCCACACTGTTGTAAGTTTGAGGTGTGCCAGCTTTGTTGAAATATTTCATGTGAGAAAGCTAACTTCAAGAACATTGATGGTTCTACTCAGGTGACTGTATGTGCATGAAATAATGTACAAAGGGGTACCCAAGGTCTTCCTGCAACAGTATAAATAGAAAGTCACCATATGACCTATACAATGTTGATGCAATGTTAAATCCAACAATTTTTTAGATATCCTCACTTCTTATCAATAGCAGTATGCAATTTGGAACATGTAAAACTATTCTCATGATTGCAAATGACCTTTTATTTTGTATTTTGCAGGTGAAGTTTGGATTGTTCGAATACATCCTAATGCCATGGTGCCTAAACAGTCATTGGGTTTTGTTAGTTGCCAATGTACAAAAACGAACAGTTGGTGTGGTAGATTCAATGCATGGAGATAACTCATTTATAATAGCTAGGTTTTGGTAAGTAACACACATTCTTTAATTGTAGCTAGTGTGTCTTACTATCACTTAAATCCACAATCATCTCCTTGATTTTTGTGTCGCCTTGAAAAAGGGGGCATATAGGGGTTACTTTTGTCGGCGGTGTCGGCGTCATTGTCGGTGTCGGCGTCCCCTTAAGCTTGTCTGGAGCATAAGTCAGTCATTATAAGTCGGATTGACTTCAAACTTGGTATGCATGCTTCTTATAATGACCCGAAGTGCAGTGCACAAGAACCGGTACTCTGCACCTCTTATTTATTGAGTTATTGCCCTTTGTTTATTTTTCATACTTTATTTTTGTCCGGGCCATTTCTCCTAAAGTAAACATCTATGGACTTGAAACTTCATAGGATGATAGATCTCATTAAGAAGAAGTGCAGTGCACAAGAACTGGTACTCTGCATTTCTTATTTTTTGAGTTATTGCTCTTTGTTAATTTTCATACTTTATTTTTGTCCAGGCCATTTCTCCTAAATTATAAAAGCTTTAAACTTGAAACTTAATAGGATGATAGATCGTATTGATAAGAAGTGCAGTGCACAGAAACTGCTGCTCTGCATTTCTTATTTTTTGAGTTTTTTCTTTTTGTTGATTTTCAAATTTCATTTTTGTCTTAGCCATTTCTCCTAAACTATATTGTTCACAAGGCGAGACATCCGACTCGCGGAGTTCTAGTTGAAATTAATAGGAGTTTTAGAAATAAGTTAGTACAAATAATCATCATTATGAGAGAAAACGGGGAGCAATTAAAACCAAAGGACAAGTCAAATTTGCATAAACCATATTTAATGATTGCTCGATATTTTACTTACTTTTGAAAAGGTTTTAGATAACTTGTCACAAATTATCAATACCATGGCAAGATGCGGGGTTGCTTCCAAGTGTCAGGGGCCTGTTTTTTTATGTGAAAATTCATAACTATGGTTTAAAATGGTGATGACATAGTCATCTTTGTAAACTTAAATATACTTTTTCACTTTTGATGTAAGAGTTAATTGTGATGTAACCTGTTGATATGCTATTTTGACATCACATTTATTTTTAGCCAGTACATGATGCAAAGAGGTAGTGTGTGTGAGCCTGAGCTGGCAGATTGCTTGGTTACTGTAGAAATTCAGACAAACAAGCAACAAGATGGATGTAGTTGTGGGGTGTTTGTTCTAATGGTAATTTTTAAAATAATTTTAAATGATAAAGGACACTTTTGTTCAAACAATACAGCAGAATAGTGCCAGTTGTTTTAACCACACATATACAAGTTAAAGTACTCTTAATACTTGTTAAAGTACACTTGGTAGAAAAAAATTAAATGTAGAAATTTCATTTTGACTTACATATATCTGATAATAAAAGCAAATTATACCCCCACAGTTTAATACAATACAAGATAATGTGCTCATATGTGATGTACCTACAACAGTGTAATCATTGAAAAAAGCTATCCGGCTTTGATTATTTATTATTTAGAGAAGTTTTAATTCGTATTTAAATTAGTATTATGCTTTGATCAATTGAAGTAAAAGAATTACTTCAGAAATTTGAAGATAACCTTTGTGTCCTATTTAATTACAGAATGCTGAATGTATCCTAAAGGGGAAGAGCTGTTTATTAATGCGCCAAGTGCATGTAGACCCATTGAGGAAACATATTAAAAACCACTTACTCCATGCAGGTAGAAAGACTAATGAGAGAGAATGTGATGGTTTGACGTGCAAAAAACCGCGAGGACCCTCCAACTGGATACAGTGTGACATGTGTCATAGATGGTGGCACAGAGTTTGTGGACAAGTTGAAAGAAAACAAATTATTGAAGAATATCTTTGCCAAATGTGTGTGGCTCAGTACCATTAAGGTATTACGACCCTAATGGGCACTATAAGGAACTAAAAAATTGACATCATAGGTCAGATATATACCTGAATGCACAATTTAAACAAAGTTTACCGTACGGAAATCAAGTTATGGCCACTTTTCTGAACTCAAGCTAGGATGTTATGAGGGCCCTTTTTTTAGAAATGAGGAACCTTTAAATAATCTGCAATAACATTCTAATGAAAAATGTTTTCCTATTAATTTTTGGTAAGAAACAAATATACCATTCAGCTAACAATCCACATAAAAAAATTATGGTTTCTACTTAAAATTTATGAAATCTGTGTAAAAATGTTACCCTACCCCACCCATTCTTACCACGTGTCTGACCATTTTTCTACTTAGGGAGCCTAATTTAAAAAATCCTTAAAATGTACCCAAATGAGTGCCTGTTTTCAAAGTTTCCCTAAATTTTTAAAGAAGTATATTGGTTGATCTTGTAAAATATGAAATACTTTTACTGTCTAGTTTTGATTTTATTACACTTTGAAAATATCAGGTACCATATTTATTACTAGATTTAGCATAATTTAGCCAATAAATTCATATATAAATTAAAAAAATCAAAATTAAACATTTTGTTCTTTCCAAATGGGACATGAGAGATACTCAAATAATGTTAAAAGAAAAAAAGAAGGAAAGAAAAGTTGACCCTTCTGGGGATTGAACCCATGGCCCTCATTTTCAATGTAGTTAAGAGTAGTTCTAGCCTATTTGAATACTCTTCAAAGCGGAGGTAATGCATTACGATGGTAATACCTTAATTAATATGGAATGACATCAATTTCAAAAAATCAGATGTTCATAAATATTCCTGCAAAGAAATAATAACTTTGGAAATTGGCAAAATTAATGTGATGGAAAAATCTCCATTTATTGAGGATGTACCTTAATTTTAAAACATATAAGATTGTCAATGTTAAAAGTTGGAATTTTGCTCGTACTTTCATTTCATAACTTTGTCTTTGTTTATGGATTACATTCATATTTCGGGACGGGGGGGGGGGGGGGGGGGGGAGGGTAGACACTTGTGTTAAGACCAACCATGACAAGAAATATCATATTTTCACATAATTTTGATTTTAAGAAAAAAACAAATGATTTTTGACATAATTATTTATTTCATTTTTTTTTAATATTGAAGAGAAGATTTTTATGATTTTTTTTCTTTTATTGTGAATAACACTATTTGTTTCAAACATTCAAATTTTGTACTTTTTAATCTGAATTTTATTTGGATAATACAACTATGATAATTATAGATATCAAAAGTGAAAAGAAAAGGTGCATTAGGACAAGTAATTATTATAAAAGAATATTTTATCAAATTATATTTCCATTTTTAGCTCGACTATTCGATAAGAATAAGTAGAGCTATTGTAGTCACCCAAGCGTCGGCATTGGGTCCGCATCGGCGTAACAACTAATGTTAAAGTTTTTGTAACACCTCAAATATTTTCAAGGTCCATTGACATATAGCTTTGAAACTTTGCACACTTGTTCACATTCATGACCGCAACCTGTAGACAGGAGGAGGTAAATCTATCAAGGATTTTGACAGAATTATGCCCCTTTTTGGACTTAGAATTTTACGTTAAAGTTTTTGTAATACTTCAAATATTTTCAATTAAAAAGGTCCATTGACAATATTAAAATATTTTTATAGAGTCAAATACTGAGAATAGTCGGGCACGCTGTCTACTGACAGCTCTTGTTTAACTCACTTGAGCTTTTTGGATTGGAGGGCTGTCCCTGCCATGGTTATCCACAATTACATATTTTTAATTGACATGAACATTACCATTGGTCAGAATTAACCCTGCTTAAGCTATAAAAAAATTGTTATACATTGTATATTATTATGCAGTTAGTGTAAAGAATGACTCTACCCTTTATAGACCTGGGGTCAAAATTGGCCCCGCCCGTGGGGGTCATAGGTTTTCCTTATATGTATATAATCAAAACTTTAAAATTCTTCTTGTCTAAAGTTACAAGGCTTATAGCTTAGATATTTTGTATGTAATATCACCTAAAGGTCCTCTACCAAAGTTGACCAAATTATAGCCCTGGGGTCAAAATAAGCCCCGCCCCTTGGGTCATAGGTTTTCCCTATATGTATATAGTAAAAGCTGAGAAAAACTTCACCTCTGAATTGACAAAGGCTAGAGGTTTAAATATTTGGCATGAGGCATTTTGTAGTGGAACTATACCAAGATTGTTCAAATAATATTCCTAGGGTCAAAATTGAATTAAGACCGGGTAACTTCACTTTTGTATATCAATTGCATTTAGTACTCAGGTGAGGGCATTGGGGCCAATGGTCCTCTTGTTTTTAAGATTTGCATTTAACCTTTCTTTAAAAAATAATAGTTGAAAATTGTCTCCAAAAAGTGTTGGCCCTTGTTAACTATTTGTGGGAGGGGATGGGATGGGGTGTCAAGTTTTGTCTTTTTTGTTTTATATTTAATTTTAATTATGTTAATTTATGTTATTGATGATGTGAATAAATTATTTTGACTAACAATAAAAATGGTATATTGGTGATTATCTTGGTACTACCACATTAATTGACATCTAGATCTTTATTTGATACTATGGTGATTATCATGATTGTCATCACCACCACCATTATGACTATTATCAGTATGATCTCAATATGCAGCATGAACGCCCATCATTGAGAACATAATATCGTCGTTTTGCTTCCAGCCTTAACATAGATGATCACCATCCTTATGATATCGAATATTTCAACATGATCATCACCACCAACATATCATCATTATTATTATTACTAATAATTAACTTAATAATTACTTATATAATTACATTATTATTAATACCCGTATTTACAACATTGAAAACACGTCAATAAAAAATAAAACAACTTGATGATAATTTATCATGAAATGAAACGACGCTTACAGACCCCCCCCCCCCCCCCCCCCCCCCCCCCCCCCCCCCCATTTGCAAAACGTTTTTTTTTTTTTTTTTTTTTTTTTTTGTTGTTGTCTTTTTTTCTTCAGATGATAGAATTTGATAGAAATTAAAAGAATTGTCACACAATTTAAAGACTATTAGACGCAGAATACGTTTAGAAGACACACATTATTATCATCATCTTTATTTTATTATTTATTAGAAGAACAACAACAACAACAAAATAATGAATATTGATAAAAAATTTCCCCGGTGAATATGCTTTTTATTATAAGATGATATTACATGTTTGAAAAGTAACAGATATACCCTAATTCACGGAAGTCCTGTTTGAAATAAAATATGAATAATACAAGTACGTTTCAATAAATATAAGATACGTGTGATTATCACGGCACTACCAACAAGTTTAAGATGTAGCGTAATAATCACACTGGTGAAAATATTTCTCATAATCACTAACACAATGATTATTATAATTACTAAGAGGGTCATCATAACTATGTGGAGCTGCATGGCGACAACCAATATCATCATTGCCATTCAATGTGGTCAGTACCAGTACTATCGTCATTGAAAGATATTTTCTTTGTAATTAAAAAAAAACTTTAAAAACAAAACTATGATTATTCATTACGATTGGGCGTCTTGTTGTCATAAAAAAGAAATCCTTAAAATGCCGAATTATTAAAAAAGAAAATATATTGCGGAAACCCTTTTGGAAAAAAGTGTATTACCAGTATGTCTGATTAAGTATAAGACCGTACGTGTGATCATCACGGTATTGCCACACACCACTAGAGCGAAATTCATCACCAACACAATGAATAGCTTTTGTTACTAAGAGGGTTATCGTTATTTAGTAGCATTGAAACAACAATACCCTTATTATATAGCTTACATGTTTTCCCCTTCAGTCTTTCTGCTCGCCCATATGGTTCATTCCGGTGGCGAGGGTAAACAACCCAAACACACACCCCTTCATTTTGGACTATTTAGCCAGCGTCAACCCTGCACCAATTTATCTTTACCTTCAGATTAGAAGATGTGTTATCAAATTCTTAATGTACACTGATGAATAATAAGAGCTAGTTTACATCTTTTACTTTAACATATACTGAATTTAACTTACTATTATATCATATTATATTATGTCATTAGCGCTAATCCTTAATTGTGCCTTTTTTACATTTCACGTGAAAACTGTTGTAATTGAAAAAACTCATATTCATTATATCAAATACGAAAGCAGTCTTTTTTATTTTTCATAAACTACTGAAGTAGTGTTGATTTCTTATTTGTTGAAAACTTCTATAATGATAAATATCTAATGCATATTGCTGAAATAATTGACATTTTTTCTCAAACATATCCCTGGCATATTTCTGAGTTGCATTGCTATAATATTCTTTATTCCACTCAGATCAGCACACGGTAATAATACTTTTGCAATGAACATAATAAACGAGGCTAAGAACCATATATAAATATCACACAATATATAAACTATAGCGGGAAAGTTCATAATCAACAAATATTACATTGAAGTTATACAGATCAACACTTTTTTAAGGTTCATGAGTCAATTGACAGGGTGTATCAAAACGGAACGAGCTGTTTATATAAGTTTAAAATTATGGAAATGTCATGCCAATTTAAAAAGAATTCACACCTTCATGGACCTCTGCTTTCCGAATACTTAACCCTTTTTCACAGCAATTACTATAACTAGATCTTGCCATTTCGAGTTTTCTTTTTATTTATTTATTTATTTATTTATTCTTTTCATTTAATTTTGGATTTTTCTATTATCTTTAATTGCATGCAAACACACAAAGCGCAACAAATAAGACTTAACATATTTCAGCTAAAAAGGGGGGCTAATATAAATTAAAAAAACGGAGGGAAATCCATGAAACAGACTTTTTTTTTAACTATTTTAAGACAGAGAAACCTTAACTGAAAAATATTTTTCAATTATATCATGCATTATTTATATTACTGTCTGTATCGAAAGATTGCACGCTGATATTAAGGAAAGAACGTTTTCAGTCTTAAGTTTACACTTTAAGATACCCCTGTGCGGTGGAAAATCATAGCTTTTTAATAAAATTTACACCATTAGACGCAGAAATCATTTAGGAAAAAAATGATATATAATTCAAGAATATTAAGTGTAAAAATAATACCGTCCGTGTGATTATCACGGCACTACCCCAAACCGTGTGATAATTACGACCCTGCGTAATAATCACACGCGTGGTAATATTACCACGCGTGTGATAATTACGCGACACCGGCATGAATAACTCTACTTTGTCATCATCATTTTTTAAGTCGTGAGTCGTTGTATGAAAATGAGAAATTATTTCACAATCCTCTCTCTATTTTAAAACAACTCGCGACGCATTAGTAGCTTAAAGTTCGCACTGTGATGTCAATATAAATGGTTATTACAGAGCTTCCGAACATAAGATATTACGGAAATCATTTGTTAAACAATGTGCAGCATCAAAGTTAGTTCAATGGCTTAAATTATGCATAAACTTATTAAATACTATGGCTATCAATATTATACTTACAAACATTGCATGCACACACACAGTAATTATATGATATTCTATTTGATTGTTGGACTGTTATGGTATTTAAGCCATGAACATGCTAGTTACTAGGAACCATTCCAGCTTTTATTGATATAGCACTTCTTGTTCAGTCTCACATGTGCTGGCAACTAAACTGATGTTAATTTCCTATGTTTAAACGGCGATAAGTAAAATAAAAACCTTGCTTATAGTATACAATACATCTAGTAAACACAACAATGTGGCTTAAATGGACACATTGCAAAACATGTAATATATGCAAAAATGTAAAATTTCTTAAATTAAGAGCACATACTTGTATGAAATGTTGCTTAGCGTATTTTAGTATTCTACTCCATTGAGTTTCATGCCGAAGTTTTTCGAACACAATATTTCCAAACTGCCACAACTTTTTTATATCTTGCGTATCCTTTTTATCATCTCCGTATCAAATCTAGAATACATGAATCTATCCTAAAGTCTGTTTTATTTAATGTCTTATTTCCTTTTATCGGCACATCTTATCTATCCAGTTGGTGACAATTCTCTGAAAATTGTTCTATGCGTCTTTGAAATTCGGAGGAATTGTGCTTGAGTAAACTCAACAATCGATTTTCGCTAAAATGCATTGTAAATTGTAACTGGAATCGGGTGATTTAGGTGTTGTACACAATGTTCCATCAATCATAGGTTTATACGTGGCAAATTTATCTCAGCAAATCAACTTTCAATTGCGATGTTTGACAAATCATGTCGTACATCTAAAGCATGAACAATAAGATGTTCGATAGAAACTTCATTTGGTGAACTCCGTCATAGTTATAAAGAAACGTTTAGGGACGCTTTCATTTTTATTGTTTAGTTGCCACACAATATGTGCTTGTCTTGTATACTGAATGTATACCATTCAAAACCTTTTCTCAATTAGAAATTCAATTTTTCAATTTATTTTTTTTTAATAAAATATCATTTGCCTTTGTAGACAAGAGCGATCAGTAATCACATGTGTCGCCTCATAATGGCCAATTTCATGTTGGGACAAATTTTGTGACAGACGGACAGACAGACGGACAGTGCACAACTACACTTGGTACTGATCAATCATGTAAAGTTTGGATAAAATTGCACCAGTAGTTTATGAGGAGTAGTCCGGACAAGCTATTGTGTATCTGGCAACACACAGAAAAAACACCTTTTTATCAAAGGGCCATAACTCAGCCAAAAATCATTCAACCGGAAAACCCTTGCAATATGCGCAAGGACTTGAGCTACAGATCAATCCTGTAAAGTTTCATTGAAATTGCATTAGTGGTATAAGAGAAGTAGTCCGGACAAACTTTAAAATTAAAAATTATTAAAGGGCCATAACTCTGACAAAAATCATTGAACCGGAAAATGCTGACAATATGCACAACTAGACTTGGTACTGATCATTCCTGTAAAGTTTGGATGAAATTGCACAAGTAGTTTATGAGGAGTAGTCCGGAAAAGTTTTGTGACGGACGGACGGACAGACAGACAGACAGACAGACGACGGAGAAGTGATCCCTATATGTTGCCACTACTCCGTAGAGGCGACACAATAAAAAAGGTCCTATATTTCTGTATCACGTTCACTGGTTAAAACACTTAAATGAATTTTCCTACCCCCCCCCCCCCTCCACACACACTCCTTGCTTGACACCCGCAGACGAACTCTCCAGCGTCAGCGCCGGCGCGACTGGAGGGTGCTACAGAGGTTGAGGACATTGTTTAAATTGCCGAATGAATTGAATTGTAACTTATTAGATATGCTTTAGAATTTTCGTATATAAAGTACATGAAACATATTCATCCAAAAACAAAAGATAATAATAGAAATTTTCACAAGCCGCCGAATACCCCCTGACACGCGCTTGTCAGTAAACTTGAAATTTCTGCACTTCTACTCAGTGAGATATATCTACCTTCAAAAGTTCTCAGATTATGTCATGGACAAAGTTCTATGTATAAAAATGA